TTTTGTCGCATGTGCCTGCATGAATGAGGTAGAGCTTGAATGGGCCATGGTCCCATCTTGTCTCTCACACGCCTTCGCTTGGGCGAGTCAAGCAGCCTTTGTGTGCAAGGCCTCGAGCCTTGTATACAAAGTTCTTTAGGTTACTGTACAGATGTAGCCAGATATTGAACATATGAGCCCAATCTCTACACGTAGCGTAACTACCGCTTCAGGCGTAACTGTCGCCGGTTTGTCACAAAGATGCAGACTTGAACTAACAGCTGTTTGTTTCCAGAGGTGGTGCATAACTTTTCACGACGGTGCTCTGCTTACGCATGCACCGAGGCGGGGTGAGAAAACTTTGCACCCCTACATGCCCACCAGTATTTATGTTTTCTCATTGTTTTACTACTCGTAGAGTGCAGTCTGCAGTTTCACTTGAGATCACATGTTCGTGCGAAATCATGGCTCAAGAAATGAGGGTTGTGCGTCTGTGTTTTTCTTCACACACGTTCAATAATGCATCCGGCTGCATCCGGCATTTTCCACGTTGCGCCCCTCTGACACATGGGAGATATAATAGTATACTATAATGCAATACTGTACTGCAATAGTATACTCTTATGGGGTACTAATATAATTTAGCAGAGTGCAAGCCCAAACCTTCAAACTAAAAACCAACATCCCAAGCCTTTGCGAAGCAGTGCAAGCCCAAAACCTTTAAGCTTAAAGCCCAAGCCCAGGCGGAGCAGTGCCAACCCAGAACCTTTAAAGTCAATCCCCACACCCGACACTCACAACATGCCCCCTCCCGCCCCTCCCCCCAACAAAAAACATGTATAAAAAACACAAAATGTGCTCACCGTTCGAGAAAATTTACATTGACGCATTGAAGGAACAACACAAATATGTTGTTCGCATGCGTCCGATGCCTTCCCCTGAAGCGGTTTTAAACTTGTGTTTTCACCGAGGTCAAAATACAAAGTGCACGGAAAGTACAGTCTCGGTTCCCCGGACACAAGAAAAGCATGGCAACACCGAAGCCCCAAGCCTCGACCGAAAAAGACATGCCAGCGGACACTCGTGCCATTAAAAGCAAAACGCCTCGGCAAAACCACCAGAAAACTGGTTCCAAAGATGAAACGGTGAAGAAAAGATGGCCCGAATGCGTAAGGCTGTCTCCCAAAAAATACCGCTAAACAGAATTCGTTGTTTTCCTTTGGGAAAACTGCCATTTCGACGTAAAAAGCACCCTGCTATCGTGTGGGTCGTTTCACGGCACGTTACTGTTTTACTACCCTCTCGTTTGTTGACTGGGGTTCTTCGAGTGTTTCAGACCATCAAGAAGGATTGACGGTTGATCCCAATTTGCATCCTTCGCTTAACAACTTACAAAACGGGAATGACGTCCTGGTTTATACGCACCCAATCACACTCGTGGGCGCGGGCTTCCCGAATCACGGCACATTTCCTCGCATTTGGATGTAAACATGCCAGAGTCTGCATTTGCACGCCAGGCAGGGGTTGAAAAACTGATACCGTGTAAACGCAATTCAATCCCACTACTTATCCAAACCTTCCGGTTTTGCACACCGTCTGCCTATTCAGCCACATGTTTTTTGAAATACCCAGCATTAAGACGAAATGATTTTATGGTGTTTGCCATTGTGGTTGTTGCGAGTGCAGGCCGGGCTTTGCCGTTGCTCACGTACTGTAACTCCTGCACCTGTACATGTACGTGCAGTGGTTGGTTAGGTGGACTGGTTGATGCAATTGTTTGCATGTATGTGGTTGCCTTTGGATGATGACAGGCGTCGACGACGACCTTCCCGTCCTACTTGCTAGATCATGTGACGCAACATGTTGATGCAGGCCGATTGCCTTGTTACTCGTACTTGCTGTTTCTGGTGCATGGCAGCCTCGATGCTGACATCAACGCTTGTTACATGTGATCAGGTCGTGTCGAGAGTGGCTTTGGGCACGCATGCTCGCAGCACGGTGCGCGGGCATGTGCTGACGTGAAGCTCTGTGATTGACGGGTCCATATACGTTGAGTTTGATCCCACCAATGTGGTGAGTTCGTGCATGCTGTGACGCCAGTCTGTTTCGTGGGAAATGTGGCACTGCCAGGGCTTTGCGACAGCTGCATTGCGGACAGTTGTGGCTGGTGTGACCGAGAACAGCGCTGTCTCGGTGCTTTGGCCTGGTGGTTTCTTGTTGAGACAGCATCGATCTGAGTGGCTGAGGTGCTTCTGCCACATGCGGGCCAGGCCCGGGTTTAGGATTTAGATAGAATATGGAGTTTGTTTGGGCTTTGGCCGCAATTTCAGCATAGCAGACTGATAGTGGCATGCATGAATGCGTGAATGCTATGACACATTAGAAATGCAATACATGTATGAAAGCATGTCTACCTACCTACCTGCCTGCCTGCCTGCCTCGCTGTCTGCCTGTCTGTCTGTCCGCCTGCCTATCTGTCTTTCAATCTGTAAGTATGTAAGTATGTAGGTATGTAAGTATGTAGATTTGCATGCATGCAGGCAGGCGGGCAGGCAGGTAGGTTGGTCGGTGCACATGTACAGATGTAGATGTACATGCGAGCATAAACCGGTTCGCTGTCTGCAAGGCCATGCCCCGGTGTCAGTGAATCCAAGCAGCTGCCCTCCTGAGGCCAGGCAGGGGTCCGAGCCAGCAGTGCCCAGTCAAGAAAGGTGTGAAGCCGTCACTTCGTTCCATTGTTGGCCTCTGCCCGAAAAGCACGCCCAAGCGGCTTTGTCCGACGGCGACACAGGTTCCACGCCAGACCGACTTCCGGCGGCAAGATGCCCTGGAGTTGTCGCCCCAGCTGACTTGACACAAGAGCCCTTTCCTAGAGTCCAAGAGTGCCGAGGATGGTTCGCTATGCGTGGGCAGCCTACTACGACGAGCCTGAGAGGCGCATGATTCGGGGATGTTTTGCTTGTGTGCTGACTTATTTCCGCACATGTCCGTGCCATCTTTCGGTGGTGTCGGTGACTACTAAGACAGTGAGGCACGGACTGCCAGACTCTGCGGAAGTGGTGAAACCATTCCATTACCGGTCTCGACACTCAGTACACCTTCGTAACAGACAGGACAACTGTTATTCCGTGGGTCTGCGAGTGTCATGAGGATTGGAATCTGGGACAGTGCTTTTGCCTATGTCGCCCTGGACTCATCCACAAATCGGATCGTCTTGCACTTAAGCAGTTGCATTGGACTTGGGGGTCGCCGTGTTTCGTAAAATTGCTGATGACTGGCTTCAGGTACTTGCCTTTCGTGGAACGGACACCGTGACGCAGGCTTGAAGTGCATATAGGTGTTCCAGCCGCCTGGCATGTGGGTCAGGAGGCCAACCGATGTTGAATGCGTGCCAGATATCCCGAATCCTTCCCTGGCCCAGCTGATGGTTGAGCTCATCTCGCATTCTCTGGTGCCCTTCATGACGGGCAATGCACAGGCTGGCTCCTCGACGTGTAGTGCTGACGTAGCATGTCAAGGTTGCGTTCAGGTGGCAGTGCGCCTTAACTGAGCCCGGGTGATTTTCAGGTTCGCGTGAACGAGTTCTTTCTGGCTGCAGTGTGGGGCTGAAGATGGAGCTCGAAGCGCTGTTTGCAGAGAGTGAACAGAGCTGGACAAGTTTCAGCCGACCGAGGCAGATGATCTCCTTCCACAACTAACGCCGGCAGCTTCCTTGTGACTCGTTCTTTGTGTCCATGCAGTGATGAGAACCATTCGATCCATGCACGGTTGGACGGAAACTCAGTGCTTCGCATGCAGGCTGCAGGAAGTAGTCTGATTGAGAGTTTGCATCCGGTGTCGTGACCGGATTCCGCAGCAAGACCGCGAAGAGCGTGTAAATCTGGGTCATGTATGTTCACTAGATGGACTTGGTGCATATTTGCACAAAGACTGCTGGCGAGGTCTTGCGGGACTTGGAGATAAAGTGCCCCACTTGCCGGCCAAGGGCTGAAGAAACGATGACCTGGATTACCTTCGTCGGTCTAGAGTGTTTCAGCAGTCAAAAACCTCCTGGTTGTTATTTTACGGTCTCTTTCGCGGATGCACTACACGCGTCAGTCGTTTCAGCTTCGTTTCATGTCCAGATGAGGCTTTGGATCACCGGGCACAGCTTGGGTGCTTCCATGGCCCTTCTGGCGGCGTTCAACGTTTCGTTTTGGACCTGCAGCGTAAGTTCCTGTCAATGTGCACATATATATATATACATATGTTGATCATATTGGTGAGACTGAGACGTCGCAGGACCCGCGAAGAGCCCATCCTGCTCACCTTCGGCCAACCTCGAGCATGAGACTCAAACCTTGAGGTCCCTTTTTTTATTGACTCGGGAGAGCTCCAGCTTCTGAGTCCGTCAACGGCCCCTTCGCTCGAATGATGGCTCCCTGCTGAGATTCGGACAGAGCTGTCGAAGATCTGTCGCAAGAGGGCTGCCCGCAGTGGACTCTTGCCGAGGAGAAGAGGCTCACCCGAATCTACCGCTTGGTGAATGCAAGGGATCCCGCGCGTGACTTGGTGCTTCCAGTGCACCGTGGTCCTGGCCTGCTGGTAGCTTGCTGGCAGCGTGTGTCGTGTTTGGAATCATGTCTCCCAAGGTCCCGCACATCCCCAGGTGCCACAGGAGCGACGCTGCGCAGAAGCCTGAGAGGCAGCACCCTGGAAGCCAGCGATACCGCAGGTATCGTCAAGAAATCCCGTTGTGATACGGTAGGCTCAAGACTCCAACACACGCTGTGGCTACAGAAACTTGAGCCCTGAGTGAGCTTGAAGGCTTATCGCCGATCTTGTGGTACGTGCGACCTGCACGTGCCGCCAGATGGTTTTTCTGCAGCGTAACAGTTGGCATCACAGAGCCTTCTCCCCCCTCAACTCTAAGAAATTCCCTGAGTCCCAATTTGACATGCCATGGATGGTGAGCGTTCGAAGCTCGCCGCTCTCTCGCTGCCGCTGCTGCATCTTGGCAGCAGCCGATTCTTCTGTTTCCACTTCTTCGAGCCCCTCGGAGCACCGAATTCGGTGCTCCGAAAGCCTACCGCACGCCTGCCGCGACAAGCCTCAGCCACTTTTGTCCCAGGCAGGGGCTCTGCCGCGCCCGCGGCATTCCGCCTGGGCGTTCCTCAAAGGAGAGGGATGACACTTCATGTCGTCAGCCCGAAGCGGCGAAAGCGGCAGGCCCTGCGTCGCATTGCTTTGATTATATACTGCCACCAGAGGAAGACCTTGTGGAGCGTCTCGTGGCGAAGAGGAAGGCGAAGGACCACCACAGCTGAAAAATAAGGGTCCCACATGGAGCGGTTTGCAGTGGCAGCATCGCGAAACATTGATAAGGTTGACGGTCCTTCGGGTTGAGAGCGCCTCTTTGGGTATTTTCTATTTCGATGAAACATTGGTCGAGAATCTGCGTTTGTTTATCCGGGATGGTTGGATGATCATTGTGTGCATGCACAGAGAGAGAGAGAGAGAGGTCAGTGTTACCCAGAGCTTGACACAAGGCTACTGCTGCACACATCACAACGAGTCGAAATGCGAAGCTTTATTGACCAGGATGGCGGCGACGCCAATGCAGCCAGGAAGCGCCAGGCGCAGGCACCAGCAGATATTGGGGTTTGATGCTGATAGTTCGGATTCTTGCGGCGGCCACTGCAAATCTGTGGTGAGCAGGTGAGTATTCATGGCCGGTGCTCCCCGGAGTCGACTGTGGTGCTGGTTCAGCTGCCGTCTCAGAGAAACGGAGTCCACAGGATTCACGGCGCCGGCGCCTGTGAAGTGCGGCTGAGGTCCGGAGACACCTTCGCCTTGGGAGCTGCCCCGCTCGGGGCCCCGAGCGGTTTCCGGCCCCTGCGCTGCGGGTGCGGGCCTCTGCGGGCGCCTTCTATTTGCGACTTTGAAAGCGCAGGGCTCGGCTGCAGACTCGCTGTCAGGCGCTGCGGCGAGCTCTTCGATTTGGGAAAAGCGCCGCTTGGCGTTGACTTCGTTTGCCTGCGCAGCCTGGGGCCTGGGGTCGCCCGCTTCCCAGGACTTTCAGCCACGATCCAAAGCGATTCTGGTGCCCCAAATGTCGTTTTCGGGCCATGGACCCGTTCAACGAGGTGGGGGCTGGTGAAGTGCCCACTGCAGGGGCTGCATTCGGCAGCCCCTGTCTCTTTTCGGAGGTTGTGGATGGAGGGCTTCTGCACCTCTGCCTGGTCACGGCCGCCGAACATCGCTTTAGCTTGTTAGCTTGGCTGCAATTGTCTTGGGCTCTCCGGTCTCTTGGGGGGGCATGGCCCAGTGTCAGTGGCCCAGGTCGCTCCCGCTGCTGAAGGAGTGGCGTGCCGCTGGCGAAACGGTCTGGGTTCGCATGGTGGCCCTGGACTGCGTCGAGCTTCTCCAGGCACAGAGCAGAGGACGTGCAGCCTGAGCCGAGCCCCGCACTACACGAGTTTTGGAGGTGTGGCCGGAAGAGCTCTCGCTGGAGGCGAGGGCCAGCAGCCGCCCAGCGCACTCGGACTGCATCGCAGCGCCTCCTTGTCTGGCGAGGCAGATGGGCGGGAGCTTTTTCGCGTCGCGCCGCCAGAGAAGGCCGGGGAATCAAAGGCAAACGCAAGAGTCCACATCCACGTTTCGCTCGCTTGCTCGAGCCTTGCGGTCTTGCGCTTCTGCAGTCTCCAGGGCCACCGGCGGCGTGACGTGCCCCAGGAGCTGACGTACCAGCTCATGGCTGGCCCAAACGACGCTCGGACTTGAAAGGTCAGTTGTGACACAGTTGTGACTGAATGCTCGCTCGCAGATATTGCAGCATGTTGGAGTAGTCGCGGAGGGATACCCGAGGTCCTGCAGCTCCGAGTGAACGCCTCTGCCGCCGGGTCCGGGCTGGCCCTAGGCCGCTCTGGGACTGTTCCAAAATGTGGATTGCTTGGGCACTCCAAGCCGTGTGTGACATGTTGAAGGTGTGCTGCGCTGCTCCGCCAAAGCCCCGCGGAGGCTGTGCGGCGACGTCCCAAGGCCCGGTGGGGTAGCAGTGCAGGGCCAATTCGCAGGCGTGGCTTCTCAATCCTCGGAGCAACCGGATATCCAGCAACGATCGACAATGATCGACATCCAACTCACTGTCGGACAGAGTACATCGAGGTTGACTTGAACGAAGTCCAGTCCAGAAAGCAAAGATGAAGCAGGAAAAACGCGGGACCGACATGTGAACATGGAAAGTTTTGGGGGTTCGAAGGGAAGCAAATCTGCCGGGAAACTTGTGTCGACTCTGAGCTATATAGAGAGATGACAGCAGCTCGGGAAAATGACAGCAGGCGGCAATGTCGAGTCGGAGAAGCAGAAAAACCGAGCCAGACTCTGCCGTGCTAGCCTTGCCAAGGGCCTCGGCCGCGGAGGCCCGGGAGCAGATGCGGGTCTTGCTGAGGGAGGAGGTGCCGCCCGGGGGGCCTTTTGACGGTTTCCATGACTCAGGCGCGCTTCGCGTGCCTGAGCCGCTGCAGAAGCGAACCTTGTGAGAACCTTGAAAGCCTGCAACCCACGGAGCGTGTCAGCAAGCTGGTTGGACACTCTTTTAGCGGTTCGGATCCGATTCTTTAAGGGGCCTGTATGGATCCGTCGACTTAAAGCTTTGCTGTCGTAAGCGGTATTTGAGCCTGTTCCCATGCCAGGATGACCGAGATGACCTCCAATATATAGTTGCCGTCTCAGCTGTACAGTGGGGTGGCATGTGGCCGCTGAACCCGGCTTGTAAGGCTTCGAAGCGGCTTTCGCTGCTTTGCCCGATCTCACTTGAGCGGCTGGAGCGCCCAGCCGGGACCCGCGGCCGGAGAAGACTGCTGGTCATGTCCGTCAAAGAGCTCTTACAGAGGTTCGAGGCCGCCGATGCCGGCACCTGCGCTGTTTTGGCCTTTCGGCCTACTGCAGGATGCTGACATCCGTTGACAGTGGCAAGGAAGCGCGCTGTTCTCCCTCCGTGTGTTTCGTCAGGAGCAACCATGGAATGGTGCGTGGCCCAGCTGTCCCTCTCTGCAGTCCACGAAATGAATGCTCGTTTCCTTAGCAAACGAGCTCTGCCGGAAACAGAGACTGCAAAAGCGCCGCCTTAGGACGCATTCAACAACCGTGCAGACCTCAGGAAAAGCTGATTCTGCCCCGGAGAACCGCAACTTTCGGCAACTTTCTGCACTTCCCACTTTTGTTTCTTCACCGCACGAAAGGCCGACAGCAAGATGAGTCTTCGTTGCTGATACTGGTACATGTGATATAACATCCTCACTCAACCAAGTGTGTTTTGAGCCGCTCAGGCTGGACCTGCCCGGTGTGCACCGAGCGGCTACGGCCAGCGGACCTTGTAGTGGATGGTTGGGGCCCTGTGTGAATGGCTACATGACCTGTGAGTCTTCTGAAGACTAGGTGCAAAGCACAGAGACGCTCTGTTTGCTGAGTGATGCTGATCACAGCAGTAGCCACGATTCCGCGAGTGCTCTGCTGGCCTAGGCTATGTAGAGCAGATCCTGGCCGAAACCGAGGCCGGCACTCTTGAAATTCCCTGTAAGGCAAGGCCAGGTGCCCGCTGGGCCAGTCCCTGACACGACGTGTGGCCGGTCTGCGGCACTTGGCAAGCGGGGCTTTTCCATTCTTCGTTGCGAGGCTGGCTGCGAGGAGGTGATCCTCTCCATGGACGGATCTTGGTGCCCTGCTGTTGATACCGACGAGACAGACAGGCAAGGAGCAGCGGAAGGAAAAAGCACAGAATGCTAGGGCCAGTCATTGCATTCATCTGGACCACTTCAAAGCGAGAGACCTTTGCATCGTGCCTTTTAGACTTTGGGGGGGGGGGGGCGCCCTTTAAGGATTGTAGGATTGTAGCGTTTGCCGAGAAGACAGAAAGTGCAGAAGGCAGCAGAAGATTCCAGCCAGATGCCGAGAAGGAGACCAGGGCTGATACTGTACAGTTAGATCCATACATATTTACTATTATTCAATGGCTTATCAAGATGATTGGCCATGTGCTGCCAGCAACGCTTCGGGGTGCGATGCAATCGCCAGGGCCAGGAAAGCATCGGCTCAGAGCCGGAGAATCGGAAGTCTTTGGTACTGGTAGGCCTTCGGCCATCGTGTGAAATACTCCGCACTTGCAGTAGCAGAAGATGCCTGAACAAGCACAGAACAGATGCCCGGCTGCTGCGAGTGAAATGGCGGCCCACAGTTGCCAATCATCGAGCTGGTGATCATGCCAGAGCGGCGAGGCATGGTGTACTTTCAGTTTCGTTTCACAGAGCAACATCAGAGGTCAGGTGTTGCACGGAAATCCGGCAGCCGGGCCGTGATGTGTGCAGCTATAGAAATCGGCTCAGGTGGCCATCCCCGTTTTGTGGCCTTGGCAAACGATCACGAGGACGGAGTCGGGGACCATCGGCACGCAGGGGGCACTGTAGCGGCAGAGCATGAACTCTGCACAGCACCAGGCTCTGCAGCTATTTTATAAGGTTCCCAGGATCGGTGAAGCCGAGAGCCATGAGCC